AAAAATTAGCTGGGTGTGATGGCGGGCACCTGTAATCCCAGCTACTTGAGAGGCTGAGGCAGCAGAATCGCTTGAGCCCAGGAGGCAGAGGTTGTAGTGAGCTGAGATCTTGCCACTGTGCCCAAGCCTGGGTGACAGAGTGACTCCATCTCAAAAAAATATATAACAAAAAAACAGTGTGGGAAAATATTTATTATTAATATAGAGTGAAAAAATCAGCATATAAAATACTTAGGTTTATATTTAAACTAAGATTATGACTAATTTGTATATTTGTAATCTTAATATGCAAATTATCAGCCACCATGCCTGGCTTTTTTTTTTCTCCTCAGATGTGAGGTCTCGCTGTTGCCCAGGCTGGTGTTGAACTCGTGGGCTCAGGTGATCCTCCCACCTTGACCTCCCAGAGTGCTGGGACTACAGGCATGAGCCACCACCCCTGGCCTAGAAAAATATTAAAATACTATTAAGGAGTATTCAAAACTGGTTATTATATCAGGATGGTAGAATAAGGGATTTTTTTTTTTTAATCTATTTTCCATTGCAGCTGCCTAATGATGGTTTTGAATCTGTTCTCTGGCATTCTGTCCTTTAGTTGCTACCAGTTGACCACTCGGCAGTATAACTTCTTAAACTTGCAGCCAGGAGGAGCCCTAGGGCAAGGAAAGCTGCAGACTAGCTGGCTTTCTGGCTGCTATCCAGGCAAGGATTTTGTTTTCTCTATTACAGTTGATTATCCTAGACTTTAGGGAGCAATGGGTCTCTGGACTGTAGGTTTCAGCCTCCATTCTGGGCTTATCTTTGGATTCTTGTTGATGAGTCAAAGGGAAAAAAAAAAAAAGGAGTGACCATCAATGAGGTGTTTGCTGACTCTTCTAGTATGAGCTCAACCTTGTTATCTGTTATCTGCCGGGAGTCATTTCCTTTGAAAATGTGTGGTATACTTTACCAGAGTAAGTAGTAATGTCCCATTCCTTCTCAGGAAAATGTGTACACGTAGGTCAAAACTATGCATTGTAAAACTCAGATCTGTTTGAAAACAGAGAGGTGGGGAAAGAAAGTAAACATACGAAGGATTTGACAGGACAGATTACCAGCCTGGTGGTCCTTTCTGGAAAATGTTTGCTTTCTCGTAATTGTCTTCAAAATAGGGACAGTGTCCTGAATGTTGGTTACAGTTGTTGAAGATTTCTTTTTGAGATTATGCTTGGATGATGGGGCCTTAAGAAGAGAACCCACCCAGTCCTGTTTTGTGCCTTCGTTTGGACATGCTCTCCCTTTTCTTCCAAGGAACTATACACTTAATTAGTATTGGGTCTGGTAGGACTGAGATTTTGTTTTCCTTTTTATTTTCCCTAGGGTTCTCAGAAGCGAACTATCTCCACCCCAGAAACCCCCCTAACAAAAAGAAGTGTATCAACTCGTAGCCCCCATCAGCTCCTCTCACCATCAAGTTTCTCTCCAAGGTATGGATCATAATTCATTCAAGTGCCATAAAGCTGGCTTCCCCTCCCCTTTCTCTGGCTATCTGAGGAAGGCTAACAGCAGAGTTATTTATTAACTGTAGGTGGGCATGTGCATCTGCAGTGAATTGGCTTGAAAGCCTATTGCTCTCTGCCTTCCTTGCTTTCCCTTTCTTTGTGGAAAATTACTGGTTCTTACAGTAATTAAGGAAACTCACTTTCCACCCACTTTTCTAAGGCTCATTTCCTAGATCAGAAACTGATACCTTCTATTGAAAACAACCTGTCTATTCAGAAGTCTAAGAGTCTTAACAGGTCTTGTCAGTAGAGGCAAGTAGGTTTCCACCTGCTTCTGTTTGTGTTTTGTTGGGTTTCTTTTTCTTTCTTTTCATCTAAAGTTTTTTTGTTTTGTTTTGTTTTTAAAGAAAAGCACATATCTTTGTTCATAAGGTTTCGTAACCTGTTTATTGTTTCAAACTCAGGTTACAACTAGTTTCTGAGAGTTTTCTTGTCACTGTGAATCTGCACTGACTTAATTGGTATTTTGTCCCTCTGCCACCACTGCACATAAATCCACAAAGATCATATATAATTTTTTAAAATCCGTAAATGACACGTCTCATATTAGAGAATTCCATAGGCAAGTGCTCTGCTGAGTAGATGGGTTTTTAGGAGCTTCCACATCAAGATGAGGCTCAGGAGCAGTAGTATTAACCCTTTAGGGAAGCACCAACTGCCAGGAGTCATTACCTCTACTTTGGATCACTTCTAGATGAACCAGAGCTTAAGATTTTTCAACTCTGTCACTTTTTTTTTTTTTTTTTTTGAGACAATCTCACTTTGTCACCCAGGCTGGAGTGCAGTAGCACCATCTTGGCTCGCTGCAGCCTCTGCCTCCCCAGTTCAAGCGATTCTCCTGCCTCAGCTTCCCGAGTAGCTGGGTCTACAGGCGCCCGCCACCACGCCTGGCTAATTTTTGTATTTTTAGTAGAGACAGGGTTTCTTTCACCTGTTGGCCAGGCTGATCTTGCACTCCTAACCTCAGGTGATTCACCCGCCTCAGCCTCCCAAAGTGCTAGGATGTCAAGCATGAGCCACTGTGCCCAGACTTTTCAGCTCTGTCACTTTAGAAAGCTGGTGATAGAAGCTCTGCAGTCATTCAAGGTGAGTGGTTATTGGATTTTTTTTTCTTTTTTCTTTTGTTTTTTTTTAAGATAGGCTTTCACTCTGTTACCCAGGCTAGAGTGCAGTGGCACAATCATAGCTCACTGGCCTTCCAGGCTCAGGTGATCCTCCTACCTCAGCCGCCTGCGTAGCTGGGACTACAGGTGTATGCTACAAAGCCCAGCTAATTTTTGTAGACATGGGGTTTTACCATGTTGCTCAAGCTGGTGTCAAACTCCTGGCCTCAAGCAGTCTGCCCCCACCTTAGCCTCCCAAAGTACTGGGATTACAGGCATGAGCCAGTGTGCCTGGCGGTATTTGGATTTTGAAGGACAGTTTTTTTTTTTTTTTTTTTTTGAGACGGAGTCTCGCTCTGTCACCCAGGCTGGAGTGCAGTGGCGTGATCTCGGCTCACTGCAAGCTCCGCCTCCCGGGTTCATGCCATTCTCCTGCCTCAGCCTCTTGAGTAGCTGCTGTCTCTTATACACATCTAGATGTGTATAAGAGACAGCTGTTGCCCAGGCTGGTGTTGAGCTCTCCTGACCTTGTGATCCGCCCGCCTCGGCCTCCCAAAGTGCTGGGATTACAGGCGTGAGCCACCGTGCCCGGCCTGAAGGACAGTTTTACTTTAGGGTGGTCTACTGCTGCTCTGGGGAGTTCTCAGACTTTTTGGAAGAAAGCTTTCTAGGCTTAACAAGAGCATCTTTGCAACCGGGTATGTAGGGATGGCTCTTATGGACATGCCAGCACCATTGCAGGAGTTATATTCTCCAAATGTCAGTACAATGCTCTGAAACCTGTAGATCTGTTTACAGCTGTCCTCATGTGAGCATCTTGCTGCATTAAAGGGCCTGCTGTAATGGATGGCTCATGGAGCTTCCCAGGGAAGAGCTTGGAGAAGTTGGCAAAATGCTGCCTAGTCATTTTTTAATGCACACTAATAAAGCTGACAGCAGAAACTGGTTTTGTAATGTATGAAAGTAACTTCTAAATTATTCAGGTAGAGGTGGCACTGGAGATTGAGATAATTAATTGAGCTCATTTTCTGTAGCCTCTCTGTGAAAAGAAAGAATGATGGCATTAATTGCGATGGTGCCCCACATAAAACTGGTTCCTGCAGAGTTTCAGTGCATTAAACAAAGCCTGTTTTAAATAGAGCTCTGTACGGCGTGTTTACAACCAGAGAATTAGAAGACTTCACTGTTATCTAAGCAGATCGGCAATATCCATGTGTTCTTAGAGGTGTAATTTACCAGTCAGGGAGTGGAAACGTGAGAACTTGGCAGTTGAGCCTAGAAAAATGGGAATGTTTGCATATCACCAGACTGTTAATTCATTACTTCTCCACCTCTATAGACACGGGGGAAAGTTGATTAATTTTAACTTCATTTTATTGTTGTTTCTATCTTGAACCATATTGTGAGTTTTTATATATGCTCAGCAAATTTTGGCTTATCCACAGTTGCAGGCTCAGATGATGTTCCAATAAATGCTAAAAATCATAAGAAGAGAAAAATGGAACTTAAAGTTTGCCTTTTAATCAATTCAGAATCTGGGGGTTTTTTTGCCTTGCTTAGTTTTAATGCCAAGAGAACGACAACCTTTTAAAATACGTTTCTGTCTCTAAACTTCTTTAAAAATGTTTGGTATTCCTCAGCCTGGTATTCCTCAACCCTTCATTCCTGAAATTCCTTAAAGGTCTGGGTATGTCCAACCCCGTTAAACTGATTCGATTTATAAACTATGAGGCCACCTTCCTTTTCTCTAGTCCCCATTTCCAAAGATAACCTCATGTTATTCCTCTCTCCCTTTAGATATGAACACAGTAATATTAATCCTTTTTGCTTCCAATTAGTGCTACTCCCTCCCAGAAATACAACTCAAGAAGTAACCGAGGAGAAGTGGTTACCTCCTTCGGCTCAGCACAGGGAGTATCTTGGTCTGGGAGAGGAGGAGCTGGAAACATCAGCCTGAAGGTCTTGGGGTGTCCAGAGGTACTAACAGGGAGCTACAAATCCATGTTTCAGAAGCTCCCAGACATTCGAGAAGGTGATTGTTTTTCCCTTTGAAATTCTGGTGGATATAAAACCACCTGGAAGAGTCTAGAGTAACAAAGCTTCAGCTATGCTGGTAGAACAAGTTCCAAGGTTGCCTTTGAATATATGAGTTGGTAATGTCTTCATGGAATCCCTAGTAGTGGAGGGACACTGGCAATACTATCAGTGATTGCCCCAAGTTACTTCACTTGGCTAAAAAGCACATAACCATTCCCAGCAGCAAAAACTCGAACGATGTAAAGGAATTCAACTTAAAGATATTCATGGCTCCTTCCTTAGAAGCCTTCTTCGGCCGGGCGCAGTGGCTTAAGCCTGTAATCCCAGCACTTTGGGAGGCCGAGACAGGCGGATCACGAGGTCAGGAGATCGAGACCATCCTGGCTAACATGGTGAAACCCCGTCTCTACTAAAAAATACAAAAAACTAGCCGGGCGAGGTGGCGGGCGCCTGTAGTCCCAGCTACTCGGGAGGCTGAGGCAGGAGAATGACGTAAACCCGGGAGGCGGAGCTTGCAGTGAGCTGAGATCCAGCCACTGCACCCAGCCTGGGCGACAGAGCAAGACTCCGTCTCAAAAAAAAAAAAGAAGCCTTCTTCAGGTTAGCCTTGACTTGCCTAAAACCTCAATGAGGACTTGAGTAAAGGGCAGACTTGGGGATGGGGTGGGGTTCATGCCGATTCCCTGGAATTGTGCTGTGGGGTCTCCTGTGGCCAGATGGAAGGCCAGGTTCAGCAACCAAATATCGGAAAATTGGCAAGGGTTTTAGAAGATTTAAACTGGCCAGATGTCCAGGCACCCTTCCTGCCTCTACAAAATGACTGACTTTAAGCCGGGCGCAGTGGTTCAAGCCTGTAATCCCAGCACTTTGGGAGGCTGAGACGGGTGGATCACGAGGTCAGGAGATCGAGACCATCCTGGCTAACACGGTGAAATCCCGTTTCTACTAAAAAATACAAAAAACTAGCCAGGCGAGGTGGCGGGCTCCTGTAGTCCCAGCTACTCGGGAGGCTGAGGCAGGAGAATGGCGTGAACCCAGGAGGCAGAGCTTGCAGTGAACTGAGATCAGGCCACTGCACTCCAGCCCGGGTGACAGAGCGAGACTCCGTCTCAAAAAAAAAAAAAAATTAAAAAAAAATTAAAAAAATAAAAATAAAAAAAATGACTGACTTTAATATTTTACAATGTGCTGTATTTTCTCTTCTTGGCAAATGAAATGTCTTAACATAATATTTTTTTTTCCACTTCTGGGATTGCAGTTCTGACATGTAAGATAGAAGAACTTGGCAGCGAACTCAAGGAACATTATAAGATTGAAGCTTTCACTCCGTTGCTAGCCCCAGCACAGGTAAGAGTTGTTCTAATAGTTCTCACTAATTAATATTACATTTTTTAATCGATGACCAAGAGGCATCCTTCTTGCTTCCTTTTTCACTTCTTGTCTGTGTTCTAGTTTGAACATCTATCTTGGTTGAATTTGGGAAAATAGGCCCTTCTGAAGAAAGATTTGTAAGTGCTGTCTGGTTTTGTGGCCAGAGAGTGATTTTCTTCCCACTTGGATTAGAGTCTTGCACATAAGCAGAGACTGAAGGCCTTGTTTCCCTTGGTGGTGAGTCAGGTAGCTCCCTGGGGATTTCCCACAAGTAGAAGCATTCACATATCGAGATAAAAGGACAGCAGCGAGGGTGGGGTTTTCAGAATCTTGTTCTCTGGACAATGACTCACAGTCTCTCCCCTTGTTTGGTCTCTTGTTATAGACAAACTGCTGCCAATACTATCTTTATATCATAGTTTAATCTGGTATATATACCAGTACTTTCTCTCTAGAATGTTTTCTAATCTAAGAGGAAATATATTCTAGAAGTTTCTTTAAAGTACCTTTGTCAATGTTTACATTCAAAGAATGACCAGTTGGGGAAGTGATGCAGAACTGTGTCATAGAAGGAAGTGTTGGAGGACTTGGAAGGAAATAATTGAGGGAAGGCAGGGAAGCACAATCACTGGGAAAGATGAGACTTCCTCTCTTTTCTCCCAAGAGTGGGAACAGAACAGAGGAAGCCATAGGGACAGAGATTTTAGCTCAATTAATAAAGAACTTCCTGTTAGGAGGTTGTACAGTATGTGGCTAAGGATATGGCTCTAGAGCCAAATTTCTGGTCTCAAACCCAAGCTTCACCCACAGTTTGACCTTAACTAAATTATCTAACTTCTCTGTTGCTTGTTTTCCTCATCTGTAAAATGGGTACAATAATATCCACCTGATGGTTGTTGCAAGGATTAAATGAGTTAATATATATAAAATGCCTAAGAATACATTTTAGAATAGTGCATGGTATTTAGTAAGCTCAAGAAATGTTATCTATTATTAAGTAGTTATAGCTATCCAAAGATGCAGTGTGCTGCCCTGGGATGGTGAGGACCAGGTGGGGTGGGCATCCAGGGGCAAGTTCCCCTACACTAGAGATGCTCACACGGCCGGGCGCAGTGGCTCACGCCTGTAATCCCAGCACTTTGGGAGGCCGAGATGGGCAGATCACGAGGTCAGGAGATCGAGACCATCCTGGCTAACACGGTGAAACCCTGTCTCTACTAAAAAAAAAAAAAATACAAAAAACTAGCTGGGCGAGGTGGCGGCGCCTGTAGTCCCAGCTACTCGGGAGGCTGAGGCAGGAGAATGGCGGAACCCGGGAGGCGGAGCTTGCAATGAGCTGAGATCCGGCCACGGCACTCCAGCCTGGGCGACAGAGCGAGACTCCGTCAAAAAAAAAAAAAAAAAAAAAGAGATGCTCACACTTAGGCAGCCTCCTCGGAGGGCTCAAGTGCTGGGTTGGTGGGTGGACAAGATGCCCTTTCAGAGTTCTTCCATCCTGAGAGTCAGTGATGATGCTGTAGTCACCTCAGGGTCAAAGCAATGCCCTGCCAAAAAATGTATTTGTTGTTTGCAGTTTGTTTTGCTATTCATCCTATTGACTTCAGATTTTAAGCTCCTGCTCCAAAGACTCATTCTTATGCTGTGACCTTCCTTTGGTAGGAGCCTGTCACTCTGCTGGGCCAGATTGGCTGTGATAGCAACGGGAAACTGAACAACAAGTCAGTGATTCTCGAGGGAGACCGGGAACATTCCTCGGGTGCTCAAATCCCAGTGGATTTATCTGAGCTTAAGGAATATTCTCTGTTTCCCGGACAGGTGAGATTGGAGGAGTTCCACCAGGATGCAGGTGCACTCTTTACTCCTGAAGAGTACGTGCTGTGCCATGTGCAGCTGCTCCTTAGTTCCTGTCTCTGCTGCCATGGGGTGTGGGTGGAGCACATGCCCCAGAGCAGACACCACTGTTGGGATTTCCATTTCCCCCATGCTCTGACCGAGGCTTTGGGACCCAACTGCCCAGCCTCAAATCCTAACTCCCCACTCCACGAGGTGCATACCTGTGAGCAAGGTACTTGACCATCTAAACCACAGTGTCTTCACTCACAACATGGAAATAATAATTCTTACCTCATAGGATTGTTGTGAAAATTAGGTCACGTATGTACAGCATAATTATTATTACTAATGCAATGCCCTTAATTTGTTTTCTGCAAAAATGCCCTAAGTTTATGATTACAAATTAAAAGTAGTTGGACAATGCTTTTAACTGCCTCAAAATAATGTATTCCAGACCTCGTTGATCTCCACTGCTTAGCAATCCTGTTTGTTTTTGTCTTTCAGGTTGTAATTATGGAAGGAATCAACACCACTGGTAGGAAACTTGTTGCCACCAAACTCTATGAGGTACACAGCGTACCCCCACTTGCCTCTTGGTTTGCTTCAGGCAAAGTGTGTCTGGAAGCTGTCTGTTCTAGAAACTGGTCCTTTTTAGGAGCCCATTTATTTGTTAGTCAGTTCTCCATCTGTAAGTGGAAATCTACCCCTGGGCCAGGGGTCAGCAAACTCTGTAAAGGGCCAGACAGTAATTCTTTTAGACTTTGTAGCTACATGGTCTCTGTCACAATGACTCAACTCTGCCTTTGTCTACAAAAGCAGCCACAGGAAACTCTTAAACAGATGACTGTGGCTGTGTTCCAATAAAACTTTATTTAAATAGTGGGCTAGAGCCAGATTTGGCCCAGAGGCCATAAGCTTACCTATCCCTGCTCTAGGCAACAATCCTCCAGAGATTTTCATAGAATGCCAGGAAAAGTAGCAAGACACCCTCCCATTCTTGCCTAGAAGTACACTGATACTTTAGGTACCTGTTTTGCTCCCACTTGTCGCTGGGTGTTTTATGACAATTGAGTAGTGACCTCCCATTACCTGGGTTTCTTCGCCCTCTGAGCAGTATAGAAAAATGGCGGGTCCTGGCCGGGCGCGGTAACTCACACCTGTAATCCCAGCACTTTGGGAGGCCAAGGCGGGCGGATCACAAGGTCAGGAATTCGAGACCATCCTGGCTAACACAATGAAACCCCGTCTCTACTAAAAATATAAAAAATTAGCCAGGCGTGGCGGCGTGTGCCTGTAGTCCCAGCTACTCGGGAGGCTGAGGCAGGAGAATGGCATGAACCCGGGAGGCAGAGCTTACAGTGGGCCGAAATGGCGCCACTGCACTCCAGCCTGGGTGACAGAGCGAGACTCCATCTCAAAAAAAAAGAAAAGAAAAGAAAGAAAAGAAAAATGGCAGATCCCATCAGATCCAAGGAGCAAGACAGAGGCACATCCTTCCCCTGCCCTCGCTCCTCCCCACTGTCCTCCCATCACACCTGTACCACCCCCCAACCCGGTGCCCTCCCCTTTCCTTACCAAGGTGATGCCTGGCGCAAGACCTTACTTGAGCTTTTCACCTGTTTTTAGGGTGTGCCACTTCCATTTTATCAGCCCACTGAAGAGGATGGAGGTGAGTTTCAGTTCAAATATTGTTTTTGCAAACAGTGAGGGTGGTAGACATGAGTCCAGGAGTGCAGTTTCCCGAGCCCAAGAAAGCTGCAGAAGCTGCTGAAGAGCAATGTGACCAAGCGGTGAGGGTACCACCATCAGTGAGTTCGTAGGTTTTTTGTCACAAGACCCCTGATCTGAGCCCAGTGAGCATTGGTCGTGCTGTCACCTGAGTTCTGCCTACATAAAGCATGTTGTTTAAAGACTAATGTCTAACAGGTATTTTTGAAGGTTGCCTTGGAAAGGAAAAAGATGTACAATTTCAAGAAGAATTTCTTTACATGCAGTGTGGGCCAGATGCAGTGGCTCACACCTGTATTCCCAACACTTTGGGGGGCCAAGGTGGGAGGATCACCTGAGGCCAGGAGTTGGAGACTAGCCTGGGCAATATACGGAGACCCTGTCTCTACTAAAAATTATAAAATTTAGCTGGGCTGGTGGTGCATGCCTGTAGTCCTAGCTAATCAGAGGCTGAAACAGGAGAATTGCCTAAGCCCAGGAGTTCAAGGTTGCAGTGAGCTATGGTAACACCACTGCACTCCAGCCTGGGTGACAGAGCAAGACTGGCTCTTAAAAAAAAATTAAAATTAATTAATTTTTTAAAAATGTAATGTGGCATCCTGGATTGAATCCTTGAAGAGAAAGGGAACATCAGTGGAACAACTAGCAACGTCTGAGTAAAGCCAGGAATTTACTTTTTTATTTTTCTGGCTCTAACACTCAACCTCGAAAATCCAGGAATTTGGTTAACAGTGATATACCAGCATTAATGCCTTAATTTTGACAAATGTTCATGGTTACCTAACATGTTAAGATTGGGGGCCCTCTGGTGAAAGACACACAGGAACTCTGTACTATCTTTGTAACTTTTCTACAATTCTAAATTTGTTCTAAAGTGAAAACTTAAAAATAATTTCTTTTTTTCCTTTTTTTCTTTTTTTTTTTTTTTTTGAAATGGAGTCTCGCTCTGTCCCCCAGGCTGGAGTGCAGTGGCAAGATCTCGGCTCACTGCAAGCTCTGCCTCCTGGGTTCAAGCGATTCTCCTGCCTTAGCCTCCCAAGTAGCTGGGATTACAGGTATGTGCCACCACGCCTGGCTAATTTTGCATTTTTAGTAGAGATAGGGTTTCTCCATGTTGGTCAGGCTGGTCTCAAACTCCCAAACTCAGGTGATCTGCCCGCCTTGGCCTCCCAAAGTGCTGGGATTACAGGCATGAGTTACCACACCCAACTCTCAAGGCATGTTTGTAAGCACAGTGGAGCACTGTTCAGGATTAGCAACCAGATCACTGACACTAGCATGTTGTCAACACCCCATGCATGTAACAGTGGCCAGAGCCATTCTTGGAGATGACCTAGAATCAGAAGTGAAATTTAGGACTCTGTTATATTGCACATTTTATCAGAAAATACAAGTTTGGCCAGGCGTGGTGGCCTACGCTGGGGCAGGAGGATTGCTTGACCACAAGAGTTTGAGACCAGCCTGGGCAACATGGTAGAACCTCGTGTCTACAAAAAGTACAAAAAATTAGGCCGGGCGCGGTGGTTCACGCCTGTAATCTCACCACTTTGGGAGGCCGACGTGGGCGGATGACAAGGTCAGGAGACAGAGACCATTCTGGCCAACAAGCTGAAACCCCATCTCTACTAAAAATACAAAAATTAGCTGGGCATGGCAGCGTGTGCCTATAATCCCAGCTACTCAGGAGGCTGAGACAGGAGAATCACTTGAACCTGGGAGGTAGAGGTTACAGTGAGTGGAGATCGCCACTGAACTCCAGCCTGGCGACAGAGCTAGACTCTGTCTCAAAAAAAAAAAAAAAAAAAAAAAATCAGCTGGGTGTGGGCATGGTGGCATGTGCCTATAGTCCCAGCAACTCGGAAGGCTAAGGTGGGAGGATCACTCTCCTGAGTCCAGGAGGTCAAGGCTGCCTTGAGCCATGATCATACCACCACTGCACTCCAGCCTAGGAGTCAGAGTGAGACCCTATCTCAAAAAAGAAAAAAAAGAAAATACAAATTTATAGGGGCAAGGGTGGCATGCTGGTATTAGGTCAACTTCAGGTAATGAAATCAACCTGGCTGAGATACCAGGAGCCTGAGCTGTGTACCAGGGAAGCCTTTGGAAACAGTTTAACAGGTTGTTAATGAACTTTTGTATAAGGAATTAAACGAGGCACTCATGGAGATACAGAATAAGACATGGCCCTCGCCCTCCAGAGACTCACTGCTTACACTGGGGCTCACATCTCCTGTAGGCTTCTCAGAGCCAAACTTAACTTTGTCCCTACCCCACCACCACATGAAACCTACTCTTCCCCTCGAATGCTCTGTCAGTTCATGGTATTACTACTATGATAGACTCAACTATAGCCCCAGGAATCCCTGGAACCTGTGAACATTTTACCTTTTGTCATAAAGGAGACTTTGCCCGTGTGATTAAGTTAAGGCTGTTGAGATGGGGGAGTAGTCTGGATTATCCAGGTGGGCCCACTGTAATCACAAGGATCCTTATAAGAGGAATGGCAAGAGAATCAGAGTCAGAGCTTGGAAATGTTAGGCTGCTGTGATTTGAGGAAGCCAAAAGAAAAATTTTATTTCAAAATAGAGAAATCTTAGGCTTCTGGCTTTGCCGCTGAAGGTGGGGCCATGAACCAGGGAATGCAGGTGGCCTCTGGAAGCTGGGAAAGGCAAGGAAATGGATTCTTCTCTAAAACCTCCAGACAGGAGGAACTCAGCCCTGCCCACACCTTCAGTTTAGGATTTTTGACCTCTGGAACTGTAATATAATAAATTCGTAGGCTTTTTTTTGAGACAGAGTCTCACTGGAGTGCAGTGGGCATGAGCTGTGATCACAGCTCACTGCAGCCTCAACCTCCCGGGCTCAAGCAATCCTCCCACTTCAGCCTCCCAAGTGGCTAGGACTATAGGCTCAGGAGGTACGCACCACCCTGTCCAGCTAATTTTTGTATTTTTTGTGGAAACAGGGTTTCACCATGTTGCCCAGGTTGGTCTCAACCTCCTGAGCTGAAGGTATCCTCCCGCCTTAGCCTCTCAAAGTGCTGAAATTACAGGTGTTGAGCCGCCACACCCGGCCAAATTCATGTTGTCTTAAGGCACTAAGTTTGTGAAAACTTTTTATAGCAACAATAGGAAACTAACACAACAGCACGTTAAGGAGCCTGGGATCTTTGGATTTTGTTGTTGTGAGCCACAGAAACTGACTCAGACTAACAAGAAAGCAGGAGTTTATTAGGGGAGATCCAGGTAGCTCACAGACTGGACAAGTGGCTAGAAACCCAGGCTTGGAACCAGGATGAGAGCCCAGGAACTCTAGCATCCAGGTAGCAGGAATTCCCCAGCTGTCTCATCTGGGCACCTCGGCTGGAATAGGTTAGCTGTAATCTTCTTTCTCTCCTTGGATTGTTCACCTCAAGATTGCACACCCTGGGAGGAGAGTGTGAATGGCCTAAACTGGGTCATGTGCCTGCCCTTGGCTAGAGGAAGACAGAGCACCCGATTTACAGGCCCATGTAGACTGCCTTGTGGAGAGGAGGGCTGATTCTCCAAAAGGAAAGCAGCTGCTGTTGGGAAAAGGACAAAGCGTGATGGGTGGCCCCTGCACCCCGTCACCCGGGAGTCTCCCGTTCCAGTCTCCCGTTCCCCAGCCTGTCTTTCTGGGCTTTTCAGTACCCCATATTCTCCAGCCACACTGGACCACCAGACGTTTCCTAACACTGAGCACACTCAGGTCTCAGTGCTGTCCTGTACCCGGCCTTGCCCTTGATTCCCCAAAATTCTCAAACGTGTTAGCAAATTCCACCTTGGTAAATTCTTTACTGACTGCCACTTTCCTCAAATCTTTCATGTGCACTGCTTGTAAAGTTTCTAGTGCGTGTTCTAGGTATTTGTGTTCCTGCCTGTCTCTCTGTCTCTACCACCTAGTGGTGTGTTCTTAGAGGGTGGACATGAGGTCTTCCTTACCTTGGGTCCCCAGAGTTGCACACATAAAGGACTCATTGAGTTGAATCCTGTGGCATTTCCCCTAACTGTCCTTTCTCCTCCCACCATTCTAATACTAGTCCTCTTCTAATCAAGACCTACAACCTCTGTCTTAGACTTTGAGCAAAGCATGGTCCTGGTTGCCTGTGGGCCATACACCACGTCTGACAGCATCACGTATGACCCCCTGCTCGACCTGATTGCTGTCATCAACCATGACCGGCCAGATGTCTGCATCCTGGTAAGAGGCACCAGCGCGAAAGCTGAGGAGTCAGCCTTGGAAAATGACTTTAATGCAGTTCTAAATTTTTAGGAAGCATGTCAGTCCTTCCTTTTGGAAAATATCTTTTCATTCTTAATCTACGTCTTTGGAGAAGTATACATGATCTATGGGCCTTTGCTAGTTTTAAAAGCCCAACTTTGGCTGGGCGCAGTGACTCACGCCTGTAATCCTAACACTTTGGGAGGCCGAGGTGTGTGGATCACTTGAGAGCAGGAGTTCTAAGCCAGCCTGGCCAACATGGTGAAACCCCATCTCTACTAAAAATACAAAAAAAAAAATTAGCTGGGTGTGGTGACAGGCGCCTGTAATCCCAGCTACTTGGGAGGCTGAGGCAGGAGAATTGCTTGATCCTGGGAGGCAGAGGTTGCAGTGAGCTGAGATTGCACCACTGCCCTCCAGCCTGGGCAACAGAGTGAGACTCCATCTCAAAAAATAAAAGGTCAACTTTTTTTTCCCACCCTTTGTTGATTGTACAGTATTCTTACCTCTTTCTCATTACTCCAACTTCTGAACTAATCTCTTTTTAAAGCTCAAAATATTACTATTAGTATGGTGATCAATTTCCCTTGCTAGGTTTAGAAAGTCAAAAAAGCCCAGTGTGCTTTTTTTTTTTTTTTTTGAGACAGAGTCTCACTCTCACCTAGGCTGGAGTGTGGTGGCGCGATCTTGGCTCACTGCAGCCTCCACCTCCTGGGCTCAAGTGATCCTCCCCATCCTCCCTATCTCAATCTTCTGAATAGCTTGGACTACAGGCACACGCCACCTTGCCCAACTAATTTTTGTATTTTTTTGTAAAGAGAGGGTTTCACCATATTGCCCAGACTGGCCTTGAACTCCTGGGCTCAGGCAATCTGCCCACCTCGGCCTCCCAAAGTGCTAGGATTACAGGCGTAAGCCCAGTGTTATAGTGGGCATTAGTAATGGTTATGGGGCCCTGGGAGCCTCCCTCCATCCGGGGCACACGTGCTTCTGCCTGTGAAATTGGCTTGGCGCCCCCGCCAGCCCATCTGCTAGCTGTCCCCAGGCTCTCCAGGCAGCCTTGGAGGGACAGATGGGCCCTCGGCAGAGGACTTCCAGAAGAGGTGATCTGAAGTCGTTCACAGACACAGGTGATTCTGATTTGTTCTTTTGGTGTCTTTGTTTCTCCCCTCGCAGTTTGGCCCTTTCCTGGATGCTAAGCATGAGCAGGTGGAGGTAAGTGGGCTGGGGTGGGAAGGGGTCCTGGGTACTTGCGTTCAGTCAGGCTCTCACTTTTCTTTTCATTTTTTAATGTTTATCCCACTTTATCACACATCTATAACAAACACATTAATTCCTGTGGCTAATCAGAAATCATTTTAGCAGGGCACTTTATTAATAAAGATCTGGAATCCGAGAGCTTCCTTTCACCAGAATACAAGGCTGTCTGGAAGCTGGGGGAGGGACATGTAAATATATCAGTCCTAATGTTCCTTTGTTTGTGATGCCTGGTGCTAAGGCACAAGAGCACTAGCACAAATGCAGGTGTCTGGCAGTCACAGGCTGCCCTGTGAAAGAACCTATCCTGGCCAATACCCCGAGCTTATAACTCATCTTGCTGTCCTTTGTATAAAACACAAATGGTCCTTCCTGGGACATCTCCATGGCTGAGGTCTGGGACCTCTGATCCTTTGTCTCACAATACTTTACCTTCCACGGAAAATATTTCAAAGCACTCTTTCTTCCTTGTAGTCTCTCCCACACTGCATTCAAGAGAGTTAATTCCCACATCTCCCCTCCTGCCTTCAACTAGACTTAGCTCCTTAAGAAAAATACCCCATCTTTCTCATCTTTGCGTCTCCTTCAGCTCCCAGCCCAACAGCTGACATCTATGGGTCACCTAACAATGTTAAGTGAGTAAACACCAAACATCTGCTGTCTAAATTTATCTCCTTTCCTTTCTTGCAGAACTGTCTACTGACAAGTCCGTTTGAAGACATTTTCAAGCAGTGTCTACGTACAATTATTGAAGGCACAAGAAGGTCAGATTTCAAAATACTGGACAGAACCTTAAGCTTCCTAGGTTTCTCCAGAGCTTCCCATTAAGAAACTGAAACCATTTAAAAGTCATGGCAGCGCCAGGCTTAGTGGATCCACATCTGTAATCCCAGCACTTTGGGAGGCCGAGGCGGGCGCATCACCTGAGGTCAGGAGTTTGAGACCAGCCTGGCCAACATGGTAAAACCCTATCTGTACTAAAAATACAAAATTAGCCAGGCATGGTGGTGGGCACCTGTAATCCCAGCTACTGGGGAGGCTGAGGCAGGAGAATCACTTGAACCCAGGAGGCAGAGGTTACAGTGAGCCAAGATTGTGCCATTACACTCCAGCCTAGGCAAAAAGAGCAAAACTCCATCTCAAAAAAAAAAAAAAAAGCTGGGCCTGGTGGCTCACGTACTCTGGAAGGCCAAGGCGGGTGGATCACCTGAGGTCAGGAGTTCAAGACCAGCCTGACCAACATGGTGAAACCCCATCTCTACTAAAAATACAAAATGAGCTGGGCGTGGTGGCACATTCCTGTAATCCCAACTACTGGGGAGGCTGAGGCAGGCGAATCACTTGAACCCAGGAGGCAGAGATTGCCGTGAGCCGAGATCGTACCACTGCACTCCAGCCTGGGCAACAAAAACAAAACTCCTTTTCCAAAAAAAAAAAATCATGGCAGTTCCTATTCTTTTCTTCCTTTTGCACTACTGAGATCAGCTAGAACCCTTGACCTTCAAGTGCAAGTTAAGAGGCATCTCTGTAAAACACAAAGATAAACATACTTGAAAGGACAAGGCTGCATCGGCTTTCACTGTTTGGTTGCTCTTTCTCTTCTATACTTAGTTCCTTTTCTCCCTTTTGTATAAACTAATATTCCACGGGAATCTTCCCAGGATGGTTTTGAGAAGTGTTTGATGACTTACGCAGTGAAATCCTGTGAGACCCCACACATCTTGTTGTGTAAGTGATTGTTTTGGGTGAGCCCAATTTCCTCCCAAGTCAGTGCTTCCCCAGGGTGCGTGGGATGCCGCCAGTGGCTACAGCTGGTGGTGATAGACACTCTCGGTGAGGGTGGGGCCTTGAATCCTTGCCACAGACCAAACAGAAGGAACTGTGAGAGGTCACAGCAGAGATGAGAGAGCTGTGCAGTTCTCATTTGAAAGTCACTGTTCCAGGAAGAGGCTAAAGCCAGGAGTGGAAAGTTATTCAGAAATCTGACATCCTCCATTCCTGTCATTCCTGTCCCTTTCCCCCAGTGCCAGTGTTTGAAAGAAGCTGGTATAGGTGGTAGATCTCCTCACGAGATCTGCATGCCTGTAGCTGAGCTAATAAAATAGAAATGTTCCTGAGGCTAAGTGTTTAAAGACGAGTCTGTCACAAAGGTGGTTTTTAAAATAAGATGTCTAACCTTCCGCCTTTTAGCCATGAGAACTGATCCCAGAGTCAATAAGTTGTAACACTACCTTCTTGTACCGGCAGTGTGGGCCAGGATGGTAGATGGCACAGCTGGAATAAAGAACATCCCCCAACTCCCAGAATCAGAGACGTGGGTTGTGCCAGTGACAACCATGGCTGGTTCTGCCCTTTCCTCCCTCCCTCCCTCAAATGAAGGTGATGCAGGTGCCTTCCCTCTTCCCCAGATTTGCTGTGATCTTGGTCAAGTTCATCAGGCCTGGAGAGTGGTTAGAACTCCTCAGGAGATAGGCCCCAAAACACAGGAGCAGGGCTGTGTTCTCCTTTTGTCAGCCCTTGGGGACAGGCAGGGACTGTGTCGTAGTGCCCTAACACTGGCTGGGTGCTTTCAGTTTGAGGTTGGGTTCTGTTTTTGGTTCCTTACCCCATGTGGTATTGTCAGCAGTGATAGAAATAAAGCACAGATAAGGCATTGTTATACTGGGGATGAGAACCCAGCACCACCAGGCACTTTCATCTGTGGCCAGTGTGTGCCACGAGGCAGGGGGAGCTGCCCCACCCTTCTAGAAACAGTATATAAACAGTTCTTGGGCAGAGAATTTCTTTGTATTTCTGAGAGGTCAGAAATGCAGAGCATTAAGCTGAGTCATCATGTAAAAGCCAGAGCCAGGCTAAGCGCAGGGGCTCACGCCTGATCCCAGCACTTTGGGAGACTGAGGCAGACAGATCATGTGAGGTCAGGAGTTTGAGACCAACCTGGCCAATATGGCAAAACCCCATCTCTACTAAAGATACAAAAATTAGCCAGGCGTGGCGGTGGGTGCTTGTAGTCTCAGCTACTCGGGAGGCTGAGGCAGAATTGCTTGAACCCAGGAAGTGGAGGTTGCAGTGAGCCGAGATTGCACCACTGCACTCCAGCCTGGGTGACAGAGCAAGACTCCATCTCAAAAAAAAAAAGAGCCAGTGAGAAAGCACCTCAGAGGAAGCGAGCAGAGCCCGCGGTTCTCATCCTGTTTGCGGGAGCAGCTGGAGGACCCTCCCCCTGTGACGTATGAGGTTGTGCAATGCTGAGCATAGTTGGGATTTTTTTCTGATCCCTCCTTCTATAGCCGGTTTCTAACCATGAGCAGGAAGGCTATTTCTTCCTTAACTATTGCTCTTCCAAAGCCTGCTGAAACAGGGCAGTTTTGTCCCTTGAGAGCAGCCAGCTGCACCTCAGTTCATTGTGTTCATCACAGATGTCAAGCCCTTGAGATGTGGAGCACAGATTGTCCCATTCAAGTTACCCTGTGGCTTGTTTACCAGACCCTGGCACCCAAATGGTGGACTGGATCATCCTAGTGAGCTTTTCAGTGTCAAAGGGACAATAATGAATATGTAAACACCTTTGGTCTCAGGATTCTGATTTTCTGTTGTAGAAGTCTCAGTTCGCACTCTGAGAGGACACCACAGTGATAAGGGTGACAGCTGTCACCAGCACCTTTATCACATGTCAAAGTGTACGTATGCCTGAGAAGTCCACACATTTTAAGCAGGAGACGGAGATGGAAGTGAGAGCTATTGGTGGATTTTAAACATGCCCGCAAAGTAACACTTTATGCCTATTTGATTTATAAATGGCCCCTCTGCCAAGGTCAGCAAAGGGAACCAAGGAAACGGGACTTTCTTTCTCTTTTGTATGGCTGGGAAAAATAAATAGTTGGCCCCCAGAGTTACAACTTTCTTCTTCACTTGCATGTTGTAACCCTAGAGATTCTCCTGCTCCATCAAAGGAAACATCTGCTGTCATCTGTGCTTTTACTGTTGCTGTTAAATATTTCTTTCATTTTTGCAAGATAGCCTGCTGAGAAATAGAAACTCAAGGCATTACTTCCAGGTGTGAGAGGGGAGGGATGCGATGGCTCAGGGAGAGGCCGCTTGGGCTTTTCCGCCTCCCGCTGGAAATGTCTGTGTCTTGATTGTCCAGTAATTATGGCCCAGTGTTCAGTCAGTCAGAGGGTTTCAGCTGGATCTTCTAAATACGAAGGCAGGCCAGGCGTGGTGGCTGACGCGTGTAATCCCAATGCTTTGGGAGGCCAAGGTGGGTGGATCACTTGAGGCCAGGAGTTCGAGACCAGCTTGGCCAACCCTGTCTCTACTAAAAATACAAAATTAGCTGGGTGTGGTGGTGTGCACCTGTAGTTCCAGCTACTCGGGAGGCTGAGATACAGGTATCACTTGAACCCAGGAAATGTAGGTTGCAGTGAGCCCACATCATGCCACTGCAGTCTGGCCTGGGTGACAGAGTGAGGCTCTGTCTCAAAAAGAAAACAAAAAAACGGCAGTCTCAGGGTCTTTTTGGTATACTGCCTTCTCCCTAGGAAAGATGCCCCAGCTCCGTGCACTCTGCCAAGGTGTGGCAGGGACACTTTAATGCCTGCAAGCTACACTTGCTTAGAAGGTGTAATGAGTCCAAGCTGTGGTTTAAACTCTGGCTCTGAGGCTGTGATTTTTTATTCGCATCCTTATCTTTCTAGATTTTCTAGATCTCCATTTCTTTGCCCCTTTTTCTGCCAAACAATAGTCTCCATCCTCTTGGGAGAAAGCCACACAGAGCAACAAGAAAGTGTCCCAGGCAATCGGAGCCTGTCCAGATGGATGGGTGTGAAGTAGAACAAATTGTCCTTCACTCCCAGTGTCCCATGGGAAACAGCGTCTCTGTTCATAACAGAGTGCAATTCTGAGCTGCCTGCCTGGAAGCGGGCTCTGCCTCCAGCCCTGAGGCATCCTGCCTGTTGCGCAGCTGTTCTAACTCAACCGCACTCACTTTTCTCCCTCTTCTGTTTGTTCTTTTGCCATACTAGCTCCGGCTCCCACCTTGTCTTTGTCCCATCGTTGAGAGATGTGCACCATGAGCCTGTGTACCCCCAGCCACCTTTCAGCTACTCTGATCTGTCTCGAGAGGACAAAAAGGTAGCAGTACCCACTCCTTGACCAGCAGGCAGCCAGAATCCAGCATGCCTCCGTCACTGGCTCTGGCCCTGGCCCTGAAGGGGAGGGTGGAGAGGCCTCTTTAGAGCATGCGTACAGCCTGAATCTTTAACTCTTTTTTTTTTTTTTAAAACAAGCAAATGTGTCTATAAGTTTGATGTAGGTTGGTTTGGTCCCCTTTTCCGTGGTCTCCCCAGCCCTCAGACAACCCCCACTTTCATGGGAAGATGTTTCTAGCTTTGGCGTACAAATATTTGTTCCAATCTGTTCTCATTTTAGCAAGTACAGTTTGTGTCCGAGCCCTGCAGCCTGTCCATAAATGGAGTGATCTTTGGCCTGACGTCTACGGATCTGCTGTTCCACCTGGGGGCCGAGGAGATCAGTAGGTAAGAAGTATGTTCCAGGCCCCAAGCAAGATGACTGGCTTTCTGGTCCCAGCCCTTTCTGCAGCCAAGAAAATCAGGGGGCTGCTTGACAGTCTTGACCAGAGAGTCCTGAAAGCAGCAAGCTGTGCCCGACCCTCTGGCCATCTGAGTTTCTCTGTATCCAAGGGGAGGGGTTGGTTGGATGCATTAGTTTCTGTTACCACCTCTCTAAACTGCATTTGAGACCCCAAAGAACCACGTCCATTCTGTCTTTGCACTTAAAGGCATCGAAATTCATCTACATTTTCTTTTCTGCTCCTGTTTTTTTCATTTCCCAAATTTGTGACCTGAAAACAAATGTGGACATCCTGTTTGTGGAGGACAAACTGGGAATTTTCTCTGAAGGGCTTTCTTCATTACTAGTACAACATCCAGCTCTGCAGATAATCAGGCCCTGCCAAATTTGTTGAGTTGATGTTGGGCAGCTCCGTTCTGCCGTCATCCTTGATGGGAAGGGGCGTGTGAAGCGACTCTCGTGTGAAGCAAGACGGGTGTGGCTCCTTGGCTGAGGTTTGAGATCGAGTCAGCCTGGCTACACGCCCGCCTCACAATGGTGCCAACTTTGCATCCTCTTGCACAGCACGGTGCTGGCTAATGGCCCTCCTTGATCTTGATTACGAGGGATTCCTATGCTTTCCCTTCTCAACCCGGTGTCCTATGTCCCTCCTCATGTGGGGACAGACCAAGCTCCTTGTGGGTGGGTCTTTAAACTTCCCCAGATGCATCCTCCTCTTGTCACTGGGCCTTGGCCATTTAGCTTCTCTCTGGTTTATTAAATTCTCCGGTCCTCCCTGAAGAGAAATGGGCTGAAAAACAGGGTTCTGTGTTCGTGCTTTCTTTTCTTTCCCAGTTCTTCTGGAACTTCAGACAGATTCAGCCGAATACTCAAGCACATCCTGACCCAGAGAAGGTGAGCTTGCCGCTGGGACCCCTGACTGTGGAGAGAGTGCCTTGGGGTCATGAAGCTATGACAAGCATGACTATAAGAGCCTTCACCAGGCTACCAGCAGGGAACTTTACCCTGTGATGACAAGCCTGCATTCTGCCCCCACACACAGAGAAAAAGTCGGTCTGCGGACGCCAGCAGCTCGGAAGCCAGTACCTAGGGGGACTCTGTCTGAGAAGGGGGCCCCCCAGTCTGCTACTGCTGACCATTTCTCTCTGTCTCTGTAGCTACTACCCGCTCTACCCACCCCAAGAAGACATGGCCATTGACTATGAGATGTTCTATGTCTACGCACAGCTGCCTGTCACCCCAGATGTCCTTATCATCCCGTCAGAGCTGAGGTACTTCGTGAAGGTAGGTTTGAACTCTGCTTTTTCCCAGAAACACCAGAACCCAGTCTTTGACTTTCCCTTCTGGACCACCTGGCACTCACCCCTCGTGGGTCTGCTGAGGGGGATGGGGCCTCTAGCACCCTGCCCTGTGGCCTTGTTTCTGTGGGGAGGTGGTGGGACCAGAAAACAAACAACTCTGTCAGTAAAATGCTTGAGTAAACAGTGTCCCCTCCTCCCTCCCCAAGAGAACAGGAGCCCAGGTGACTAGGAAGGCCCTCAACTGAGGGCTTTTACCAGGCCACATCAAGGTGACCTGGGGAAGATTTCAGGGTACACTTGCCTGTCCTGGGCCTCCCAAATTCTGATACGACCTCCAAGTGGGCTCAGCTGGGAATACCTTGAAGAAGCTATCAGGTCATTCTGATCTCTGCCACCCTTCACCCTGCCTGCCTTGGAGTTAGGTCCCTTACAGGGAATCTGCCCAGACCAGTCCCACTCTTGCCAAACAAGAGCTAGTTCAACCTCAAGGGGTTAAAAAAGGAAAGAAAAAGTTTTTCACATGGGAAAGCAGTAAACAGCTAGATCAGGTTTGTCTCCAAGTTTGGGGGCTGATTATCATTCTGCCAAGTCACCTCATTCTTCTGTTTGAAATACTTAAAAGGAATTCAAAGCTTTCTAGTAACAAGTTAACATATGTGACGGAGGCTGGGTGCAGTGGTTGACAATTGTAATCCCAGCACTTTGGGAGGCCAAAGTGGATGGATCACCTGAGGTCAGGAGTCTGAGACCAGCCTGGCCAACATGGTAAAACCCCATCTCTACTACAAATACAAAAATTAGCCAGGCATGGTGGTGTGCGCCTGTAATCCCAGCTACCTGGGAGGCTGAGGCAGGAGAATCGCTGGAACCCAGGAGGTGGAGGCTGCAGTGAGC